TTTTGGTTCAAGCACACCAGACTGTTCATTCCACATAGTTCCCTTTTCAACTTTATATGAGATGTTCACCATTGACCGTGCAGGAATAACGGTAGATACTGCAACTCCAACACGACAAGCAAATGAAGTTTTTTTTTCGCTTCATAAAGACCGTCCGACCGTTCACTACCAATGAATTCGCGCTGAAGTCTACCACACAGTTGTTTACCTTCAAAAAAATCTGCCCCCAGTAACAACTCTTGAGCCAAATCACGACCCACATATACCAGTTGCTTGTAACTTCTCCCAGCCAGGTTAATTTTTAACGTTGTCGTACCGCAGATATCCAGAGGTTTGCTATTTGCTCCTAGGATTAGTTCTTTAGTTAGTAAATGGTGCCAGCAACTTCACTTTTTGAGTGAAATTGCCAAATTCCAACCCCAAGCAGCATACACGGCGTTTGTCTCAGGTTTTCGGCACAGATTTACTTACCACATTCGTGCCGTTCCAGGTATCAAGACCGTGATGCAGCTTGTTGACGACACCATCAACCTGAAGCTCCTTCCTGCACTCCTCGATAACCGTAGCTTGTCCATCCATGAGCGACAATTGGTTTCGCTTCCAGCTCGTATGGGAGGTCTTGGTATTCCGATCTTTAACGACATCTGCGATGAAGAGCATTTGAACTCCACAACCATCTGTCATCTTCTTTCAAGTAGAATCATCCACCAGAATGGTACACCATCAGCAGAACATGGAGATTCCATCCACGATCTTCGCCGTGAGATTGCAAAACAACGTCGAGCTAGGAACTCGTTGCTGCTACATAACTTGAGATCGAGCATGAGTGAAGAGCAGATTCGAGCAAATGACCTCGCCCAGTTGAAAGGATCCTCAGCTTAGCTAACTGCTCTGCCACTTGCTGATGAGGGCTACATCTTGACCAAGCGTGAGTTCTTTGATGCAATCTACATGCGTTATCCATGGCCTTTGAAACGCCTTCTATCTTTCTGCGCTTGTGGAAAATCGTTCACGGTAGATCATGCCCTGTCGTGCCTGAAAGGAGGTTTTATCCATCGAAGACATAATGAGATCCGTGATCTACTTGCTGCTGCTATCGATGACGTTGCTTACGATGTTTCAATTGAGGTGCTAACTGCATCCAGTGCTAACTCAACCGATGACGCCAGAGTGGACATTGCTGCGAGAGGTTTCTGGCAGAGATGTGAAAAGGCATTTTTTGATGTAAGGGTGTTTAACCCATACGCCCCTACACATCGACGCCAGACGCTGAGCAGCTCGTTTAAAGCCTACGAACGGGAAAAGAAGCGACATTACATCCAACGGATTGTTGAGGTCGGGCATGGCTCCTTCACACCGGTCGTCTTCAGCGCCTTCGGCGGATGCGGAAGAGAGACCCAACATTTTCTCTCCTTTCTGGGTGCGAAGCTGGCTGTCAAGAAGAATCATTCTCCATCTATGGTGGTTAGCTGGTTACGACGAAAGATCGCCTTAGCTTTACTTAGAGCTCGCGTGGTGTGTGTTCTTGGCAGTCGAAGTTGCGTCCATCACATCAACTAATGACATTACGTTGTCGGAATGGAACTCCAACATTAGCAAGCAGTCTAGTTAAGTTTTTTTTTTTGTAAATAGTCTGTAGAACTATTATACTTAGTTTTAATGAATGATTGATTATTGTAAATTTCCCTAGTACTAATAATGTGAATGAATTATCTATTTTTATTATTTGCTCCTAGGATTGGCCGACCTCAACGCTCTAACTTGTTTTCTCTAGTGCGAATTTTCTGGAAAGTATCATTATGCATAATTGTCACTGCTGCTCTAGTGTCTACTAGGGTGCATATCTCCACATTGTTTTATGGTACATTGTACAAATGTTGCATTCTCTGTTTCCGTACTCGTAACGTGGCTTGGGTTTTCTTTTTCGATATGCTGCGGCTCGGGCGGAATCACTTCCATTGTGACCCCGTCCGGTTCCCGTTTCCCCGTACATCCTTCTTCGGACATTCTCGTTTGTAGTGGCCCATTTCTCCGCAACCGTAACACTTTACGTTCTGTTTCCTCGAACGATTTTTAACAGAGCCAGAGTTGGCATTACCAGATCTCGTTACATCACTCGTTACATCGATCAGTTTCCCAAAGAACTGTGCCTGTTGTTCCATAAACGCTTGCGCCCACGGCGGTGGGTTGGTAGCTGATTTGAGCGGATTTGAGCGGATTCTTCCGTGAAACAACAATCTTGGCTTTGGCCTTGGCTAGCCGCCATGTTTGCTGTGTGTGAATTTTGTTTCTTGTCAATGGCGAAAAGGCTTTCCAGGCGTAGTGCAGTGCTCAGTGCCTCATCCATGCTCTTGGGACAGGTTTGGCTTACACCGATACGCAACTCTCGGCTATCTAACGCAGAAATAAACTGATCCACCAGCTCTTCATCAACAAAAGTATGATCTTTTCCAGGATGTGCCCGACGTGCCAGCTTTCTCAGGTCAGTCACCAGATCAATCAAATTTTCTCTCTTCTCCCGTTTTCTTTGTCGAAAAGCGAGCTTGTGTGCCATTTGCTCCCGCTCGGGATTTAACATTCTTTCCATCGTTTCGACTAGGCGTTGGAAATCGTTTCTTTCTTCGTCTTTCGGTGCCAAATATATTGATTGTGCCCTTCCCCGTAGTGACACGGGTAGGATTTGACATTTTTGCTCGTTGTCCCTCTTGTTGATTTCTGCACAGAGTTTGAAATGTGACAACCATTCTTCCCAGTTTCCATTCGTAAAAACATCCGGCTTAGCTCGGAAACTGTTGTTAGACCTCACTGTGTGCAAAGTAGCCGTTGAACACTCGCCAAACTCACTCTCCATCGACTCTACTCTACGAGTCAGGTTTTCAATGTCCCTTTGTGTGTCCTCACTCATTTCGTCAGCCACTGCTGCCACCAAATGTTAAGAGATGATTTATTTGATTGTTAATAACGAGTTTAAATTAAGCTGCGAAAATACAGTGTTTTTGTCCAAAGACATCTAAAAACAAGCCGAAAATGTTCAATTACAATAAAATAACTGTTCTCAAGAATATATACAGGGTGAGTAAAAAAAAACTGACACCATTGAAATTCAAATTAGCTGTGAACTTATGGCTGGAATATGACAATTCCCATGTACAATCAACAAAAACGATTTGATAAAACTGTTCTTTTGTATGTACAGAGCTTAGAATGCATTTTAACTCCCAATGGGAACAAGCTTTATGTTTTAGGTTAATTAATATGATATGCTTTGTATACCTATGAAATATTTTAAGCAACTTCTGTCACATTATAGCCGCTATCCGGCTAATTTGAATTTCAAAGGTGTCCGTTTTTTTTTACTCACCCTGTATATCCGCAGATAGATAGATAGATAGATACTCGAAATCTAATTAGAATTGCATATGTTGTGTAATATGATTGAAATCCCATGCAAATGTAATCATATGCAATTCTAATTAGACTTCGAGTATCTATCTATCTATCTGCGGCCAAAGTTATCAAAAAGGTTGTCCCGATCAATATATATAGAAATATATAAATATCAATCACGTGACCATTAAACATGGCTTCACCTTACTATGACATTTAAGAAACTTTCACGACAGATTTCCAACGATTTCTCAAAAAATAAACGTATGTAGTAAAATCACGTGATCGATATTTACGTATTTATATATATTTCCATATGACAACCTTTTTGACTGTATATATATATATATATATATATATATATATATATATATATATATATATATATATATATATATATATATATATATATATATATATATATATATATATATATATATGTTGGGGCCATTTTTGTGCCCATGGTGGTTCCTTGAATCTTTCGATAATGTTGGTCATCGAATTTGAACGTATTTTCTTTTAGTACGATGGATACGGCATTTAGAATAAATCCTTTCGAACATGGGCGGGCAAGATGTGCCGTGTAATTATCTAGCCAGTATTCCATAGCTTCTAGACCTAGTTCATGTGAGATATTTGTGTGAAGATTAACGACGTCAAATGACACTAGTAATGTTTCATCGGTTACTTCATTTGGTACGTAATTGAGAAAATCTAGGTCATCGCGGATGTAACTAGGGACTTTTGCGCAGAGTGGCCTTAGCACGATGTCAATAAAATTACTTAAACGGTGCGTTGGGGAGCTTGGTCCGGCTACAATGGGTCTCATTTTCAAGTCCGATGGAGGGTCTAATTTCACGTACTCGGCATTTTATTATTTTATCGCGGCTTTGATACTAGCGGATTTGTGTATCTTTGGGAGTCCGTAAAAGTTAGAAGTTTTGTAGGTAAAATTATTGGTATAGTTGATCTCGTCACCATCACCTAAAGAGCTAAGAGAGCGAAAACGTTTGTGAATAAAGTGATATTAAAAAATACGAAGCAGTGGTTATGTTCGAATAATATCTCTCTACTCTCTGCACAACGCAACTTAATACTATATATATATATATATATATATATATATATATATATATATATATATATATAATATATATATATATATATATGTAACTTTCTTTGGACGCCGACTCGGACTAATACAAACAACTCCATTTAACTCAACTTTGTTTACCTTACTTTCGCGTTTACAATAACTTTTTCTTTACCTCTCCTCTACTACCTCAGTTCACTTTATTTAACTATGTTTACTCTCCTTCAGAGTACATTTAAAAACCCTTTGAGTACGTTTAGAACCGTTTGGTTCTACATGCATATATAAATTTGTCAATATGGCGTCCATTCGCCTAAAAACTCTCCTCTGAAACCCGCGTGTTCCGTCACATAACACTCGCATACCGGAAAACACCACTTACCGGAAGAAACGGTAGCTACACCGGCCCCTAAATCGATTTGTAACACAACAAACTATTTACATCAATATCAAGCTACCGATTATAACTATAAACTTATCTGTCTATTACGTCCACTGTAATAACTCCACAGCTTCCGAATCACATCACTTCTGACGTTTCGTCTGGAATAACTTGTCCGTCCATCTCTAACACACACAACTTCGTCACAGGACGCGTCAGAATTGTTGTACTTGTCTTGTGTTCGTCCTTTCTGTTTCGCTTTGCTTTTGTCGCTACGGTTGAACTTGTTTTCACCCTCACCGTCCGAACGTATCCGTCTCTACTTAATCCCGCCTCGACAACTACTGCCAACGGCCACTGTCCGCGCGGATATGTTTCATCGGCTAATAAAACCACATCACCAACTTTCAGATTTTCCTTTGGCGAATTCCACTTTCTTCTTTCTATTAACGTCGGCAAGTACTCCTTCGTCCACCGCCGCCAAAAGACATTTGCTAAGTATTGCGCTTGTCTCCATGCACGATTGCTGTACGAATCTTCCTTGCGAAATACACCAGGGGGTAGACTAGAGCTTGGTCTCAAATGCAGTAGGTGATTCGGAGTTAATGGTTCCAAATCCAAAGGGCTATCGCTATTTCTTGTTAGAGGACGAGAGTTCAAAATGTTCATTGCTTCTGCCATTACAGTAAGTAGCACTTCATCTGTGACCAGCTGTTCCTTTAAGACTGCTCGTGGTATTTGTCGTACTGATCGTATCATTCTTTCCCATACCCCGCCCATATGACTGGCTGACGGTGGGTTAAAGATCCACTGGATGTTTCTTTGTGAGCAAAACATGTCGATTCTCTCCTCGCTCCATTGTTTCATACATTCCATCAATTCCTTGTTAGCGCTCACAAAATTTGTTCCACGATCACTCCTGATTTGTTCCGGACACCCACGAATACTTACGAATCTTCTCAGCGCATTTAACATCGAATCAGTGTCTAATGAGTGTGATATTTCAATATGTACAGCACGGGTAGTAAAGCAAGTGAAAATACACCCGTACCTTTTCACCGTCGATCGTTTTTGTTTAACTTGGAGTGGTCCAAAATAATCAACGCCTACATACGTAAAAGGCGGTTTATTTGGGATGAGCCTTGTTTCTGGCAAGTTGGCCATAAACTGCTCACTGAGTCGTTTCTTCCTTCGCTGACAAATAACACACGACTTTATCACTCGTTTCACCGCTGCTGTTCCCTTAACAATCCAATATTGCTTTCTAATCGAAGACAGCACCGATTCTTGCCCCATATGACCCACTTCTGAATGATGTTGGCGAATAATCAACTCAGTCACGGGATGCTTGGACGGTAAAATTATCGGATTTTCGACTTGTCATGCAAGCGTCAGTCAGTCTTCCTCCGACTCTCAAAAGTTCTTCTTTATATTTTCATGTTACGAGGGTTCGAATATACATTACATATATTAGCATAAATTATATAATACACACTATAATATATATACATACTGTATACATAGACACTATATATACATAGACACTATATATACATACACACTATATACATATATACATTTATATACATATATACATATATATATATACATATATGGTTACATCGTTACATGGTTATATGGTTATGTGGTTAGTGGTTATATGGTTATTAGCTCGCCTGCACTTTAGTGCAAGAGAGCTATTGCTATAGCGTCCGCGTCCGCGTCCGCGTCCGCGTCCCCGTCCGCGTCCGCGTCCGCGTCCGCGTCCGCGTCCGCGTCCGCGTCCGCGTCCGCGTCCCCGTCCCCGTCCGCGTCCCCGTCCCGTCCCCGTCCCCCCCCGTCCCCGTCCCCGTCCCCGTCCCCGTCCCGTCCCCGTCCCCGTCCCGTCCCCGTCCCGTCCCCGTCCCCGTCCCGTCCGTCCCCCCCGTCCCCGTCCCCGTCCCCGTCCCCGTCCCCGTCCCGTCCCCGTCCCCGTCCCCGTCCCCGTCCCCGTCCCCGTCCCCGTCCCCGTCCCCGTCCCGTCCCCGTCCCCGTCCGTCCCCGTCCCCGTCCCCGTCCCCGTCCCCGTCCCCGTCCCCGTCCCCGTCCCCGTCCCCGTCCCCGTCCCCGTCCCCGTCCCCGTCCCCGTCCCCGTCCCCGTCCCCGTCCCCGTCCCCGTCCCCGTCCCCGTCCCGTCCCCGTCCCCGTCCCCGTCCCCGTCCCCGTCCCGTCCCCGTCCCCGTCCCGTCCCCGTCCCCGTCCCCGTCCCCGTCCCCGTCCCCGTCCCCGTCCCCGTCCCCGTCCCCGTCCCCGTCCCCGTCCCGTCCCCGTCCCCGTCCCCGTCCCCGTCCCCGTCCCCGTCCCCGTCCCCGTCCCCGTCCCCGTCCCCGTCCCCGTCCCCGTCCCCGTCCCCGTCCCCGTCCCGTCCCCGTCCCCGTCCCCGTCCCCGTCCCCGTCCCGTCCCGTCCCCGTCCCCGTCCCCGTCCCCGTCCCCGTCCCCGTCCCGTCCCCGTCCCCGTCCCCGTCCCCGTCCCCGTCCCGTCCCCGTCCCCGTCCCCGTCGTCCCCGTCCCCGTCCCCGTCCCCGTCCCGTCCCGTCCCGTCCCCGTCCCGTCCCCGTCCCCGTCCCCGTCCCCGTCCCCGTCCCCCGTCCCCGTCCCCGTCCCCGTCCCCGTCCCCGTCCCCGTCCCCGTCCCCGTCCCGTCCCCGTCCCCGTCCCCGTCCCCGTCCCCGTCCCCGTCCCCGTCCCCGTCCCCGTCCCCGTCCCCGTCCCCGTCCCCGTCCCCGTCCCGTCCCCGTCCCCGTCCCCGTCCCCGTCCCGTCCCCGTCCCCGTCCCCGTCCCCGTCCCCGTCCCGTCCCCGTCCCCGTCCCCGTCCCCGTCCCGTCCCCGTCCCCGTCCCCGTCCCGTCCCCGTCCCCGTCCCCGTCCCCGTCCCCGTCCCCGTCCCCGTCCCGTCCCCGTCCCGTCCCCGTCCCCGTCCCCGTCCCCGTCCCCGTCCCCGTCCCCGTCCCCGTCCCCGTCCCCGTCCCCGTCCCCGTCCCCGTCCCCGTCCCCGTCCCGTCCCCGTCCCGTCCCCGTCCCCGTCCCCGTCCCCGTCCCCGTCCCCGTCCCCGTCCCCGTCCCGTCCCCGTCCCCGTCCCCGTCCCCGTCCCCGTCCCCGTCCCCGTCCCCCGTCCCCGTCCCCGTCCCCGTCCCCGTCCCCGTCCCCGTCCCCGTCCCCGTCCCCGTCCCCGTCCCCGTCCCCGTCCCCGTCCCCGTCCCCGTCCCCGTCCCCGTCCCCGTCCCCCCGTCCCCGTCCCGTCCCCCCGTCCCCGTCCCCGTCCCCGTCCCCGTCCCCGTCCCCGTCCCCGTCCCGTCCCCGTCCCCGTCCCCGTCCCGTCCCCGTCCCCGTCCCCGTCCCCGTCCCCGTCCCCGTCCCCGTCCCCGTCCCCGTCCCCGTCCCCGTCCCCGTCCCCGTCCCCGTCCCCGTCCCCGTCCCCGTCCCCGTCCCCGTCCCCGTCCCCGTCCCGTCCGTCCCCGTCCCCGTCCCCGTCCCCGTCCCCGTCCCCGTCCCCGTCCCCGTCCCCGTCCCCGTCCCCGTCCCCGTCCCCGTCCCCGTCCCCGTCCCCGTCCGCGTCCACACTACATGATAAGTAGGATGCGACTTTTATTTTCCCATTTTTTTCAACTTATCTACTTAAGGAGCCTATTTGTTGCAAAAGAACCATTTACCAGGGGGGAGTGAACATTATACAACAAAATATAATGATAAGGTCAATGTTAAGATGCTATATTTTTCTATACTTTGGCTTTACATCAGAGGAATCATTATCAATATAAGTCATCAATATGCATTGTGACTATTTAGTGCCATTTGGTACACATTTATACAATAATAAAGAGAGTTTTGCTCAAAATTATCAAATGATAAGGTGAATGTTAAGCTAATTAGCATAATGATAAGGTCAATGTTAAGATGTTATATTTTTTAAATATTTTGGCTTTGCATCAGAAGATTCATCATAAATATAGCTCATCGATATGTCTTGTGACTATATGGTGACATTTAGTACACATTTACACAAAAATAATGGGAATTTTGTTCAAAATTATCAAATGATAAGGTGAATGTTAAGCTAATTAGCATAATGATAAGGTCAATGTTAAGATGCTATATTTTTTAAATATTATGGTTTTACATCAGAGGAATCATCATAAATATAAGTCATCGATATGCATTGTGACTATTCAGTGCCATTTGGTACACATTTATACAATAATAAAGAGAGCTTTGCTCAAAATTATCAAACGATAAGGCAAATGTTAAGCTTATTAGCATCATGATAAGGTCAATGTTAGAGTTATCCAGAGTTATCACGCTCATTACGATTTTCATGGCTATTGTGTAGCCCTGTTTTTTTTAGTTCAAGGTTGTAGCTGAATCATATTTAACGAAACTATTAGTACAACCCTAAGCCAAATGAGAAACTTTCAAATATTTTCACCAATATGCTACCATTTGTTTGTATTGTACATGTACAATTATAAATTATGAGATTGTGTTGTGACATACCGTATCAAAATTCAATCGCTTAATATAGAAATCATTCAGGGAGTGAAAATATATAAAACATAGTCCAACGTTAAAGTTTAAAGAATATTGTCAGATAATTCGCAATTACAAGCTTTTGCACATAAGTATTTATAAGTAGAAAGCCAATAGGCTCGGAATGCAAAGGCAAATGGCAACGCATGTGACATATATTTGCATATTATTTATGTAGATACACATGCAAATATATTATTAAAGCACCTATAAGATTTATGTACATACCTTTTCGTTGTTTGATGCATTATCCTTTTTTGTGTAGATATAAAAATCCAATCTTGTTTATTTCATAAAGCTAGGCGCACACACGACGATTTTAGTCGGCCGATTCCTGTCTAGATTGTCTAAATGGAAACTAAATGGATGTTTTCATCAAAATGTGGCGACTGGCGATCCATACTTGGTCATAATATTAGACCAAGTAGACTCGCGTACACGCGCGAGGCGCGAGCGCCGCGAGAAGGAAAACATGTCTGGGCAAGGGCTGCCTATATGTCTGAACCTGAATGGACCAACTACCGTAAAATCGTTGTGTGTGCGCCCGGCTTAAAGCAGGGACTTTTGCCTGGTCCGTTAACTTACCTGTTGATATCACGTGCGCGGATTGCGAGAAACGGAAGAAATATTGGTCACAAATAAAACTAATGTAATTTCGAGGCCAGTTTTGGCCAGTAATTTTGAGGTCACAACTAATATCTATCTGAAGTTTGTGCTAAATATTACCTTCCAACGCGGATTTTAGCCTTGTAATTTGTAATAAAAAGATCGGTAATTTGTGCTTCATACAGATACCTTTCATACAGAGTTTAGCCTTATTCTAGAGAAACAGTGCAGGCGAGCGTTAGGTGATTTCAGGTATGGTTACCTCTCTGGTATGGTTATGTGGTAATATGGTTATGTGGTTATGTGGTTATGTGGTTATGTGGTTATGTGGTTATATGGTTATATGGTTATATGGTTATGTGGTTATATGGTTATATGGTTATGTGGTTATATGTTTATATGGTTATATGGTTATATGGTTATGTGGTTATATTGTTATGTGGTTATATGGTTATATGGTTATATGGTTATGTGGTTATATAGTTATGTGGTTATATTGTTATATGGTTATGTGGTTATATAGTTATATGGTTATATGGTTATGTGGTTATATGGTTATGTGGTTATATGGTTATATGGTTATTTGGTTAGTGGTTATATGGTTATATGGTTATGTGGCAATGTGGTTATATGGTTATGTGGTTATATGGTTATATGGCTATATGGTTATATGGTTATGTGGTTATATGGTTATATGGTTATATGGTTATGTGGTTATATCGTTATGTGGTTATATTGTTATATGGTTATGTGGTTATATGGTTATATGGTTATATGGTTATGTGGTTATATGGTTATGTGGTTATATGGATATATGGTTATATGGTTATATGGTTATGTGGTTAGTGGTTATATGGTTATATGGTTATGTGGTTATATGGTTATGTGGTTATATGGTTATGTGGTTTTGTGGTTATATGGTTATGTGGTTATGTGGTTATATGGTTATATGGTTATGTGGTTATATGGTTATATGGTTATATGGTTATATGGTTGTGTGGTTATATGGTTATGTGGTTATATGGTTATATGGTTATGTGGTTATATGGTTATATGGTTATATGGTTTTAATATACAATCTTCGTGCACTGGCCTAAATCTAAGCACGCGATTGGTCAAAATCGAT